AGAGAGAGAGAGAGAGAGAGAGAGAGAGAGAGAGAGAGAGAGAGAGAGAGAGAGAGAGCGTGTTATGCAAATCCGCGCACACTTCAAACTCGGCTTTGACCATAAACACAATGATAATCAGCCGACAGATAGAGATGGACTGTGTGAGCACCTGTGGGAAAAGAGGAAGAACGAAAGTGTATGAAAGTCTAGGGAAAATGAATGGGCAGAGGACTGGTGGTCCAGTTGCGAGGAGGACGGTGACACATCATTTGTGTAATTTTATGACCACGTCATCAAAAAATGATTGAAGAAGATTTGAATTCAAAAAGATGTGTGTAATGTGTACTGACTATGTGCCATCTCAGGGGCCATCTCAGGGGAAGAAGCCGACAAAGCAGGACTTTGGACATTTGAATTTTCGGACAGTTCAATAGTTACTTCAAGAGTTTTTATAGAGACATAAGATAATTATAAGATAATTGGGGGATCAAGAAGCTTTTATCTCATTATACTGGTACAAAAAACGGACAAACTTTTTTTTTGGAAAAATTATTCAGTTTCCAAGGAAAATGTTCATGAATATGGTTAGGGATATGAGAGGTATAATAGGGAAAAGATAAATGATAAGACAATTAAAATACTGTCAGGAAGTGAGTGTTGAAGTCGGAAGTGGGAATTTCCATTCTCGGAAGTCAGAAAGTTATGCGTACGCTATTCATTGTTTCTTTCTTTTCTTTTAAAATTTGATTTCGGTCATTTGGTAAAAGGGGGACGTTCAGTGGTAAACACCTAGCCATGAACCCCAAACAATGGCGACCCTTAGGGCCTTCTAGTACTTTTTTACTTTGATGACACCGATCAGTTTTACAAAGAAGAAGAAATAGCATTGAACAGCGCACGCACAGTTTCCGAGCATCCGTCCTCCACCCATCATCCTGTGTTGCTGACACATTCCGTGATCCAACCAAATTGGCTGCTCTCCTGCTTGCCCATTTGAAGAAGATCCACCGGTTATCCTTTTTGAGCTATCATGAGCAGCACACGAACGGCTTCCAAGCATTTGTCTTCCAGCCATCGGCCGTGTTCCTTGATCTCCTATCGCATCCCGTGATCGGACCAGATTGGTTGCACTTGTGGTTGCCTCTTTGGTGAAGATGCATCCCAGATGCCCTGGAAGCCTGTTACAACTCTGACTTCTTTCTCTGAAAACACTGTCAGGAAGTGAGTTTTGAAGTCGGACGTGGGAATTTCCATTCTCGGAAGTCGGAAAGCTATGCGTACGCTATTCATTGTTTCTTTCTTTTCTTTTAAAATTTGATTTCGGTCATTTGGTAAAAGGGGGACGTTCAGTGGTAAACACCTAGCCATGAACCCCAAACAATGGCGACCCTTAGGGCCTTCTAGTACTTTTTTACTTTGATGACACCGATCAGTTTTACAAAGAAGAAGAAATAGCATTGAACAGCGCACGCACAGTTTCCGAGCATCCGTCCTCCACCCATCATCCTGTGTTGCTGACACATTCCGTGATCCAACCAAATTGGCTGCTCTCCTGCTTGCCCATTTGAAGAAGATCCACCGGTTATCCTTTTTGAGCTATCATGAGCAGCACACGAACGGCTTCCAAGCATTTGTCTTCCAGCCATCGGCCGTGTTCCTTGATCTCCTATCGCATCCCGTGATCGGACCAGATTGGTTGCACTTGTGGTTGCCTCTTTGGTGAAGATGCATCCCAGATGCCCTGGAAGCCTGTTACAACTCTGACTTCTTTCTCTGAAAACACTGTCAGGAAGTGAGTTTTGAAGTCGGACGTGGGAATTTCCATTCTCGGAAGTCGGAAAGCTATGCGTACGCTATTCATTGTTTCTTTCTTTTCTTTTAAAATTTGATTTCGGTCATTTGGTAAAAGGGGGACGTTCAGTGGTAAACACCTAGCCATGAACCCCAAACAATGGCGACCCTTAGGGCATTTTAGTCCTTTTTTTACTTTGATGACGTCAACAAGTTAACAAAAGAAGAAATAGCATTGAACAGCTCACGCAGTTTCCGAGCATCCGTCCTCCAGCCATCATTCTGTGTTGCTGACACCTTCCGTGAACCGACCAAATTGGCTGCTCTCCTGCTTGCCCATTTGAAGAAGATCCACCGGTTATCCTTTTCGAGATTCCATCCATTGGATCATGAGCAGCACAGGAACGGCTTCCGAGCATCCGTCTTCCAGCCACTGTCTCGTGTTCCTTGATCTCCTATCGCATTCCGTGATCGGACCAGATTGGTTGCACTTGTGGTTGCCTCTTTGGTGAAGATGCATCCCAGATGCACTGGAAGCTCGTTACCACTCTGACTTCTTTCTCTGATTTCCCTGATTATCTGATTTCTCAAGTTTATATAGCCCCTGTAGATCAGATCTGAAGATAAGATAAGAAAAGAGTTCATGAAAATAGACAGCACGCGGAAATTATTTTTATTTTTTGGAATTGATTTTTTAAACAATTTTTTTAAAATGAAAATAGTTGATTTACGTCGGATTACTGTAGCTTTTGATTATCTTTAACCTAGAAAAAAAAAGAAAAGAATTTCAGAATCAGAAATCTTTAAATCTCGAAATCTCATAATATCAAAATCTAAGAATTCTAAGAACTAGATTTTGAGATTCTGAAATTATTGAATTTTAAAAATATCGAATTCTGAAATTCCGAAATTCTGATATTTCGAAATTCTGAAATTCTTACAATGGGATTATGAAATTCTGAGATTCTGAGGTTCTGAAATCCTGAAATCTTGAAATTTTGAGATTTTGAGATTCTGAGATTGTTTTCGAGACACTGATCTTTATTTCTTGAGAACATTAAAAAACTACAGTAATCCGACGTAAATTCTTCAAATCTGAATTTTTAATTTAATTTTATTTTTTTTTCTGAAATTCTGAAATTCTAAAATTCTGAAATTATTGAATTTTAAAAATATCGAACTCTGAAATTCCAAAATTCTGAAATTCTGACAATGAAATTCTGAGATTCTGAGATGTGGAGGTTTCGAAATTTCGAAATTTTTCATCTTGCTAATTCTGAAATTCTAGGTGTCCTGATGTTCTGAAATTCTGAAATTCCAAGACTCCGAGATTCTGAGATTCTGAGATTCTGAGATTCTGAGATTCTGAGATTCTGAGATTCTGAGATTCTGAGATTCTGAGATTCTGAGATTCTGAAATTCTGAAATTATTGAGTTTTAAAATTATCGAATTCTGAAATTCCGAAATTCTGAGATTCCAAGGTTGGAATTCTGCAATTATTGAATTCTAGAATTATCGAATTCTGAAATTCCGAAATTCTGATATTTCGAAATTCTGAAATTCTTACAATGGGATTATGAAATTCTGAGATTCTGAGGTTCTGAAATCCTGAAATCTTGAAATTTTGAGATTTTGAGATTCTGAGATTGTTTTCGAGACACTGATCTTTATTTCTTGAGAACATTAAAAAACTACAGTAATCCGACGTAAATTCTTCAAATCTGAATTTTTAATTTAATTTTAGTCCTGATTCGTATAAAGATATGAACCAGGGCCGCAGGCCCTGCGACTGATACCACTCGATTTGAAACTTTTCATGTTACAGGGCCGAAGGCTCTGTCCGGTCTGTTCGACCTGAGCGACCGGAGCGAGCGAAGGGAGAACAGACTGAAGCTTGAATCACCTGATTCCACAGAGCCAGGGCCGAAGGCCCTGCATACGATTCCACCTGATTGCGCGACACAGCCGCGCCTAGCGGAGTCGGCCGTAGGCCGAAATTCATTATTTAGAACTTCCACGTGCTGACTATTTTCATGAACTCTTTTCTTATCTTGTCTTCAGATCTGATCTACAAGGGCTATATAAGCTTGAGAAGTCAGAGAAAGAAGTCAGAGTTGTAACGAGCTTCCAGGGCATCTGGGATGCATCTTCGCCAAAGGCAACCACAAGTGCAACCAATCTGGTCCGATCACGGGATGCGATAGGAGATCAAGGAACACGGCCGATGGCTGGAAGACAAATGCTTGGAAGCCGTTCGTGTGCTGCTCATGATAGCTCAAAAAGGATAACCGGTGGATCTTCTTCAAATGGGCAAGCAGGAGAGCAGCCAATTTGGTTGGATCACGGAATGTGTCAGCAACACAGGATGATGGGTGGAGGACGGATGCTCGGAAACTGTGCGTGCGCTGTTCAATGCTATTTCTTCTTCTTTGTAAAACTGATCGGTGTCATCAAAGTAAAAAAGTACTAGAAGGCCCTAAGGGTCGCCATTGTTTGGGGTTCATGGCTAGGTGTTTACCACTGAACGTCCCCCTTTTACCAAATGACCGAAATCAAATTTTAAAAGAAAAGAAAGAAACAATGAATAGCGTACGCATAACTTTCTGACTTCCGAGAATGGAAATTCCCACGTCCGACTTCAAAACTCACTTCCTGACAGTGTTTTCAGAGAAAGAAGTCAGAGTTGTAACAGGCTTCCAGGGCATCTGGGATGCATCTTCACCAAAGAGGCAACCACAAGTGCAACCAATCTGGTCCGATCACGGAATGCGATAGGAGATCAAGGAACACGAGACAGTGGTTGGAAGACGGATGCTCGGAAGCCGTTCCTGTGCTGCTCATTGCTATTTCTTTCTTTTTTCAACTGATTTTTGTCAAAAAGTAAAAACAGTTTTTTTAAACTTCCAGGGCAGCTGGGATCCAATGGATGGAAGCTCAACTAGGATGACCGGTGGATCTTCTGCAAATGGGCAAGCAGAAGAGCAGCCAATCTGGTTGGATCACGAATGTGTCAGCAACGCAGGATGATGGCTGGAGGACTGTTGCTCGAAAGCTATACATGCGCTGCTCATTGCCATTTCGTTTTCTTTTGTTAACTGATTGAAGTCATCAAAGTAAAAAAAAGGACTAAAATGCCCTAAGGGTCGCCATTGTTTGGGGTTCATGGCTAGGTGTTTACCACTGAACGTCCCCCTTTTACCAAATGACCGAAATCAAATTTTAAAAGAAAATGAAACAGCGATGAATACCGTACGCAAAGCTTTCCGACTTCCGACTTCCGAGAATGGAAATTCACTTCCCACTTCCGACTTCAAAACTCACTTCTCTATTCGCTATTTTGAATTTACTTGTCATTTATCTTGTCTATCTCTCTCATATCCCTAACCCAGAGGTCATTTTTTACCAGAATAATAAGATAGAAGTTTTTCGTTTCTCTCGATTATCTTAAAACCTTTTCCTTAATTATCTTAAAACTTTTTCCTTTTTCATGAAGAGTTTTGAAAATTTTAACTGTTCAAAAATTGGAAAAACTCACTTGGGTTCAAGCGAAAGGGTCAGAAAGCGCGCCCCAGTAAATTTAGGGAAAATTCTAAATTCGCTGCCGAATTTCGTTGGCTGAGTTTCACAGTTTTAAATGAAGAGCGAAAACGCGCGCCTTGCAACCAGTTGTTTTTGAAGAAATAGATCATGATCTAGATCAAACCCGCGTCCACTTTAAAATTATTAAATTTCTTCTGGCCTACGAGTTTGCTGGGGCGCGCTTTCTGACCCCTTCGCTTGAACCCAAGTGAAAACTGGAAGAGTTTCGCTTTTATCTTATTGACCAGTACTGTAGTATAAGAAAAGTTTCTTCCCTCCTTTTGTGGCTGGAATCCTATAGCGACTCAGCAAATTTTTGGCACATGTGCCGCTACTTGGGGCACCGGTGCCGCTACAACGCGGTAATCGTTTCCGGGGGTTGGGGCACGCTTGCATTTTGCGTGCCGCTGCCGTGCCGTTGCCGTTGCCGTGCTCATGTGTGCCGTCTTTTTGAAATTCTTTCTTCAAAATCAGATCAATTAATCACGAGATTTTCCTTAAATTGGATAGTTTATTCAAATACAAATACTTAAAAAAAGAGTAACAAAAAAAGCAAGAAAAACGATCATTTAAATTTGTAGAGAAGATTGTGCCGAAGATGTCGAATTTCGATGAAAGAACTTTCCTACTCCTCTTCTCCAGCTTTATTGGCGTTGGGCTTGGCAGGGTGTTTCTGAAAGAACTTTAAAGATTATTTACATAACTAATTATTGGATGAAAACTCACGTTTCTTTGGACGAATTGTCTTCGGATCCTTCGGAAGTTGTCTGGCACGTTTTCACCGAAGATCAGCGGAACTGTAAAACATAGGGATTAACATTAACCTTTCGAACATTTTTTTGTGAACACTGTCATTTCAAAATAGTTCAGTTTTTCACATCTCGCCCACTTACATATTTAATTTGGAATATTCATCGTTGCTGGTCGTAAAATACCTTCTTCTTCTTCAGTATCCTCCACGGTTTGACGACTTCCCTTCTCGTCCTTATAACTGAAAAGATTTCCGACATCATTATTACTCATAAAACGGTGAAAAGTACAAAAACTTATGAAAATGAATGACAAGCTTTTTTCGCAACATTTTCGAAACTCTATGGATAGAGACGATATGCGCAGGTGGTTCAAGAACGGGCACGGCAGCGGCACGGTAGCGGCACTTCACATGCTCGCTAGGGGCACGGGTGCGGTGTTCCAAGGGCACTTTCAACGCGGCACGGTGCCGTTTGGATGCGGATCATGTGCCCCTCTGTGCCCTGGCGTGCCGAAGTTTTGCTGAGGACACACTTGGCAGTGCATGGCTTTCTTGATGTGCACGACTTTGTTGTCGCATTAACACGCATGGTCTGCCCATTAGCACATATCTGAACTGTAATTGAAGTTTTGCATCTGTATGTTAGCACCTTTCCACAACCACGGGGTCGGCACAAAGGGCGTTGGAAGTGTGTTTGGAATCAAAGCATCTGTCATAGTTCAACCTTGTGAATTTGTAATCAGGATCATGACAAGAAAAAAAGATCACCTAATGTCGCCATGGATACTGTAGTTTTCGTAATACTATGTATGATCATATTACGTGAAAAAGGTCACAAGCAAGCGCATCCGTAAGAAAAGGACCACCTTCCTCTTGGTTATCATTGTCTTCCTTTGGATAACATCTCCGTTGACAACTCAATCAATCTGCTCATGGTGTGTACATGATGACGCAATTAAAAACAACCGGAACGGATATTTTTTGCATGATATCAGATGCCGAAACACTCTATTAGAATGGTCCTAACTTTGAGCCAATTTATCTCAGTTCCTGTAACAGATATCAAAAATATGTCAACTAATAAAATATTGGTGATGTTATAATAAACATTTTCTTAGTTCATCTTTTTTTATATTTTCCACAAAAATGAGATGTATGAGCTGGAAGTTGACAGTGTGCTTCAAAATTTTTAGAGTCATAGATTCTCTTCCGATGTATTCTGGATTAAAACAAAGTACTGGTCTCAATCACAAATATATTACAAATTTGATCTAGTTCATGAACTTCCTCTTTTCCTCCGATACTCCATCACTGTATTATGTCATAAAAGAGCCGCAGCTTGTCTCTTCTACCAACTGACCGACGTCCGTTTGATGTCCGTTGGCCACCCGTTTGATGTAACAGACTGTTCTTTCGCTATACTCCGAAAGTTTCTTATGGCCTACAAAGTTCTTTCTAATTGTAAGCGCATTTTTTAATAATTTTACAAAAAAGAGCAACTATGAAACATTTCTTTCATCGTACCGCTATAGTGTCAATACAGTGCCTTCCTTCTATCTTATCTGAAAATCCCTTTATATTGCATTTATCTTATATTTGGCATTTACGAAATCCCTTTTGTTCCACTCTTCAGATTTCCATTTTTATAGCTTATCTCTATTGTTTCCACAACAACCCAATCCAACTTGATTTGTATACGGACTCCATAAAACGGTGTTTATGACTTTTTGAGTAGACGACCACCATCATATGGTCATGCCTACGGTAGTTTATCACTGATAGATAGGAGATAAGAAGATAAATCGTCCAATCGCATATCCTCACTTTTACAACTTCTCGGTAGTTTGTATCCGGGAAAGTTTTGGAAACTATGAACAAGGCAAAAAATACGGTTAGCACTCTAATAGAAGGGAACAACTCTGAGCTCATATATATATATATGTTTCTATGAAAGGTATTAAAATGTGGTAAATTGACAAAATGTTTTTGATATTAAGATACACGTTTTATCAATGACAACTTTTTATTACCTTTTACAGGAATCGAGATATATGGGCTCAAAGTTGGAAGTTCGGGCGCCCTTCTATCAGAGTTTTTAGTTTCAGGTTTGACCTTTTTCGGGAGTATGGCTCGGCTGTCAAGTGTTGAATCACTGCAGTCACATGTGAAAACTTTGGAGTTTATAAAACAGACCTAGATGGGAAACGTTGCATTTACAGAATTTTTCGAAAGCTCCTAGTTTTTTAGTTGTTTGCCGCTTTCTGAAGGACATCTACTTTGTTCTCGTCATCAGGTCTTCAGTTTACCATCGGTCTGCCTTCCGTATATATATTTCTTATCCAGCACAGTTGTATAAAAACTTAGCTTGCTAATGTAATGATTGCAATATTGGCAAATCAAATTAAAATCAACACAGAGAACTAATTAACTCAAGTCTTCAAAATTTTTCGAACTTCCATAGTTGACACTTTCATTCCAAAAAATTTCAGTTTCCCGCGATCTTTCTAAAAATCCCACCTATCAGACACTATTCCAGTATTGTGTCGAACCCTGCCACCTCAACGCCTAGAGGAATTACGGTATTTGCACGTCTCCTCCCTCTTGTAGGCGTGGCCAAGACGACGATGGACCACTACCTCTCCACCATTCTCCAGATTGCGCTACGCTCCTATTTTTCTCACTTTTCCTCTATTTGATGTAACTTTCTCAAACTATTGATTTCAGATTCACCATGTCAGAAGTTCAAGTCACCCTTCGAGAAGATCAAGACCGTGTATGGAGACTTCTTCATTCTCAACAAAATGAGATGATTGTGACTAAATCTGGCAGAAAAATGTTCCCAAAATTGGAATATTCGGTTCGTGGTCTGGCACCAAACAAGCTTTACGCAATGATGCTTCATCTGGAGCACTCGGACGATTGTCGATACAAGTTCACCAATGGAGAATGGATCAAGTCGGGAAAAGCCGAGCCACATAAAGAGCCAAAAAAGTTGTGGCATCCGGACGGAGTGCGAAGCGGCAGAGATTGGATAGCTACTCCTGTCTGTTTTGATAGGATCAAAATAACAAATACCAGTGATTCTACCAATGCCTCTATGATCTTCCTTCACAGTATGAACAAATATTGTCCAATTCTGTCAATCTTCGAAAGTCAATCTGAAACTCCCATGTCAATTCCTCAGCCATCCACTCGTCTTGTCACTTCTGTTCGATTCGACTACACGGAGTTTATAGCCGTGACGGCGTACCAGGTAATAACACAAACATCTAGATAACTTTGTTCTCACATTAGCACGTGTCCGAATTAGCACATGTCTCCAACTTTATCATCATCCTCATCTCAATATTCGCACCTTTCCAGAATGACGCCGTCATCAAAATCAAAGTCCAAAACAATCCATTTGCAAAGGGATTCAGAGAAGGAGGACAAGGCAATCGAAAAAGAGAATCTCCATCTACAGATGAGTCTACTACAGAGGAAAGTTCTGCTTCTCCAAAACCTAAAAAGTGCAATAAATCTTCTTCCGTCTCCCCTCCAATAGTTCCAAGATTCGCCCAATTCCCTCAATTTCCCACTACTCCAGTTATGAATCCATTTCTTTATACTTTTCCATTTTTCCCTCAATTCCCTCCTGGACAACTTCCATCCAATCCATTCCCATTTCCAGTTAGTTTCCCATTTTTCTCACAACTTCCATTTCCCACCCAAGCTCCGGTTGAGAAAAAGCCCAAGGAAGAGACTGAGCCAGAGATCGATGATGTTTGAAATTCCTGTTATTGTTAATAGTTTTTAGTTCGGGTCCATGATTCTTCACTTGTATTTCTTATGAATTCTTGTCATAATATTAAAGCAACTTTTGCAAATAAAATAATACAATTGATTTCAAGATTTTCTTCTCAATTTTTGTCTACCAGCAGATGGAAGATGAACTTGTCAAAATGTAGATAACTTTGTCGGTAACAGAGTCAATCAACCAAACAGCAGGGAGTCTGTCTTATCCTTATGACAACCGGAAAGGGCAAAAAGAGCGAAAATGCCTATGTTTGATAGAATCAGTGGTCTGGCATAGGACCAAGAGGAAACTTCTTGAACTTATTGGGGGGAAAACTGATATTTAACTTAAGCTATTTTTAAGATATTTTCCAGCAAGCTATAATTTAAGCTATTGTTGAATTTTAAAAAAAAGTGGGACCTGGAAATTTTCGCGGGCGGCTTCCCGGTAAATTTTCGAGGCCTCGCCGCAAAATCACTACAGTAGTAAACAAAACTTATTTGTGTGAATTCAGTGGGATTTTCTGGACAAAATTTAGATTTCCTGGTATGAAAATGATTGTTAGCATCTCTAGAATCTGTTTTTCATCGAAAAACCAAACTTAATTGCGAAAGTAGCTCGAACGAGTGGAAAGTCTGAAATATTACGTTTTGCCGCACTTTTTCGTAGATCAAAAAAAGCTACGCCTTTCAATTTCTCAGGTCCCACTTTTTTCTAACTCGACACTAATATATTTCCTTCTTGTAGCAGATACTGTACCGACCAAAATAGCCTGTCATCTTTTTTTTCGGTAGAAATCCATAAAAAATTTATGCTAAAACTGAGTTTCACACTTTCAACATTATGTTGGTTCGGCTGGGCGATTTCATTTTCATTTAAACAAATTGCAGGTACCGTACAACCTGGGCTTCCACACTGTCAAGTTTGAGTTTAATTATCATTATACACCTGTAAAAGATAGCAAAAAGTTGTCAACTGATAAAGTAATTTATTAGTTAACAAATTTTAATAGCTTTCACAGGATTCGAGATAATTGATCTCAAAGTTTCTGGTTTGGGGTGGATTTCTATTCAAATTGTCCATTTTGAGCTCAATTACTTCGAGCTCTATAAGGGATATCAACAATTTGTCAACTGATAAAATATAGGTGGTATTATGATAAGTAATTTATAAGTTAACAAAATTTTGATAGATTTCACAGGATTTGAGATAATTGAGCTCAAATTGGAAGGTTTGGTGTGGGCTTCTATTCAAATTGTTCACTTTGAGCTCATTTATCTCGGTTCATTTCAAAGATATAAAAATAGTTGTCAACTGATAAAATATTTGTCTAATTATTATAAATAATTTATTATTTGAAAAGTTTTTGATATCTTTAAGAAGGATCGAGATAATTGAGCTCAAAGTTGACGGGTACATAGTTGTTTTATTTTCCTCTATTTTCCAAAAATTTCAGAAAAATTGAAGAAAACTGAGCATCTGTTTCACGACTCCAATGTTCCATAAAACCGAATCATTCTGAAAAGGCACCTGAGCATTTCTAGCTGTCTCAAATCCAATTGGCTCGTCCTCTTTACTAATCTCTACAAACATTGGACGCATATGATAGGGTATATCTCTATTACCATGCCAATTACTACTAATAGTGTACAGTAACTGTTCCTTTCTTCTTTTCTTATTCTCCGATGATCACTCGCTTAGGTAACCACATAAAACGTGCCGCCTGTCAGTGCGCCAGACACAGTACCGCTGCTCATTTTTACAGCCGACGTGGTGGTGTGTCCGATGAACTTGGAGTTTATGATGTAACATGGAACAGACTTCGTTCCCGGGGAGAGAATCACGCAATACCGACAAATGGGTCACACGTGGCTCTTCGGAGGATATAACCTTTGAAGTCGTCTTGGAATTTCAGAAGTCGTACACGCAATCTTCAGACCCTCGTGGCTTAAGAAAAAATTCTTGGAAGACGTCGCAGACTTCTGATTTGTTACAAATTATATTTGGAAAGGATGATTTAAATCTTCCAAAATCGCTTCGGTTAACCAGACATCAGATCCTTACCGTATACATAGAATTCTGAAAGTTATATATTCTATCTAATCCTTTTACGCTGATCTGGGTAATTAGCCGGACCTAACTAGCAAGACAATAGAGCATAACTAAAAGGATGAGTGACATTAGAATAGGTGTGAACTCCTTAAACAGAAACCGACCTAGTTCGCACCTTTTGACCATTTGTTAGTAGATCCATCATCCAAAAAGTGTGGTCATAACTAACAGATTTTGTTTTCGTTTGGAAACAAAGGAAACTAATAGGTGATAGCTTTTTGATCTAGCCGATAGTTGGAAAACAAATTGAGGTGTCGATGGTTCACACTTGGTAGGACCATGAGCCGAGAGGGGCAAAACGTAGACTTGGAAACGCAGTAGTAGGAAAGAAGGGACTAACTTCGAAAGCTATATAAATTGAAAGTTGCGATTTTATACAGCGGATACAGTATGAAGCAAAACTTTTTTAATATTCACTGTTTCCTATTGAAAATTGGCAATTTTGGATGTCTAAAGAATACTTTTTTATTCAAATTGAAGCCTACTCACTCGGTCTACTTCGAGATTAGTTATCTCGATTCCTGTGAAAAATATCGAAACTTTGTCAACTGATAAAATATTGGTGATATCATGATGAATAATTTTTTAATTGACAAATTTTTGATATCTTTCACAGGTGTCGAGATATATAGGCTCAAAGTAGACGGTTTAAGTGGGCTAGGGAAAATACGATATTTTCAGTTGGAAATGTCCAACTTTGGATGTCTAAAAGCTCAAAAAAAAATTTTATGAAGCTGGAAATAAACAGATCCACTAAACAAAAACAGAGCTTCAATTTTGTAGTTGACTACTTTTCTAGAAAATTCAACTAAATAAGATAAATCGCTTGAAAGTGTTACGACTCCAAACTCAGCACTGTATTTGGAAATTTCGACACTTGATTGGTTTCAAGCGGTATAGGCTAGGATCAATTAGGGGAAAACCTGTAATAGAACCTACCCCTAACTTTTAACTTTGAACCAATTTATCTCGGTTCTTGTGAAAGATATAAAAAAGTTGTTAACTAATAAAATGTTTGTGATATTATGATAAAAATTGTCAGTCGACAACTTTCTTATATCTTTGAGAGGAGCCGGGATAAATTGGCTCAAAGTTAACAGGGGCACTTCTATTACAGGTTTTACAGTACCCAAAATCCATATCTCTTACCGTTTCCATCTTCAGTTATCTGTGTGATTGTAAAACTTATCACTTCCCCACCATCAGTTTCTTCCCAACAACCACAGGAAAGGAAACAGTCATAAACCCGGGTCTATTTATCGTCTCGAGATCTGATTTAGGGTCATCCAGTTGTAAAATTTGTCAGTTATGAAAGGAATAAAAAACAACCGCAAGGCGTTTTCTGGGAAATGTTGATTCTGTCCCTTTAAAGGGTTTATGGTTATTATGGCAGCGTGGAAAGATGTCAAAACAAGCATGCCAAGAGAGATTTTTGGGCATGGGAGGGATGTAAAAGGTTTAGAAGATCGGTTGGCTGGAAAATGTTTGTGTACTAGTCGTGTAGATTTCTAAGGTACTGTAGTGTCCGTACTCTATCCTATTGCGTGAAAGGAATCACAAGCAAGCGCATCCGTAAGAAAAGGACCACCTTCCTCTTGGTTATCATCGTCTTCTTCCTTTGGATAAAATCTCCGATGACAACTCAATCAATCTGCTCTTGGTGTCTTATGACGCAATCAAAATCGACCGGAAACGGATTACTTATTTGTTGTTTTAGATCACAATCGGCAAATTTTTGACACATGTGCCCCTACTTGGGGCACCGTTGTCGCTGAAAGCTAAGCGTGTCGGTCTAGAGAGGGTCTAGAGACGGTTCATAGAAGGGATACGATACCTGCCAGTTGGGGGTACTCCGAACAGGTAACGGTTCTCTAGCGTGCCAAAAGTTGGCTAGTACAAGGATGCGAAAAAGGAAATGAACAAGTCACTTGAAAACCTTCAGTTCAACTTCAAACAGGGTGCTAGAATAGAACAAAAGAAGATTATGAAGATTAGGGTACAAAGAAGAAAGAGCCATAACAGCAACATAACAGCAAAACAGCAAAAATACATACTACCGTAAGCCAAAAATTGATGTAAAGATTGAAGAATGGTATTTATTGATGACAGTCCGGATCAAAGAATTCTCACCTTCTTATCAATTTAATGTTGAATAACTATAATTCACACCTTTACTGAGATCCTTGGTTTGTATAATGAGTGAATTGCCGTATTTCGTCCAATAGAAGCCCACCCCACATAGCTCAATTATCTCAATTCCTGTTATAGTTATCAAAATTTTGTCAACTGATAAAATTTTGATGATATTCTGATAAACAATTATTAGTTAATACATTTTTTTATATCTTTTACAGGAATCGAGATAGGTAAGCTCAAAGTAGCCTTGTTTCAGACGGCTTCTGTTAGAGGAAGTACTGTATTACCGTAACCCAACCACCGATTTTAAAAATTGAAGAATGGGATGTTGACCGTATAATTGGTGGTGTCAGCCTTACAAAAGTTTATGAAATATGTGTTTTTCTTGGTCTTGAATTCTCAGAAACATCTGACACACTCGGCGATCTGAAAGAACAAATCAGAAACCTCAAACGAGAAAACCAGCAGGAAGTCTCATAATCCCTTTGACGACCGGAACAAAACAAAAACATCAGTTAAAAGATGTTTCTAGATATCTCAGTAGGACGTAGAGCATGAAGATTGCCGAGACTATACACAGATTGTGCCGGATTCAAAGATAAAGATCCTTAAATGGTAGCTGAGAATTTGGCACTACCGGAACAATCAGAATCTCTAGAATCGGATCCAGATGATGCGCTCTGTATAAACTTTAAACTAATAACCATACAAAATTTGTAATGCACCCACTAATCCACTCCCCGATGTTCGTCTTTCCCCCGTTCGGCGGGTTATGTGTTATGCAACAAAGAAACAAAAGAGCCGCCCGTCTGTTTCGGAATCTCGTTTTAACACACACGGCATCCGATATATGGACTCCTGTGAGCTGATGATGTAACACATTTCTCACTTTCAGAAGTCGTTCGCGCAATCTCCGATTCTACGTGGCGGAAGAAAAGGGATTATTTGAAGACATCAGGGATCTGATTTGGCAAGTAGTTTTGAAATCACGGAACTGGTTGTAGGGGATCGACCTGCCCCCTAAAAAATTCTGAAAATTATATATTTTCTAACCTTTAGTTAGGCCCGCTAATCTAGCGGATCTAACTATAACTGAAGAGACACGTGCATCTAAACAATGGACCATGACCGATGTGCTTCGTGACAGTACAATAGGTGTCAGTTCTTTAAACTCAAACCGACCCAGATTATCACCCCATGGCCCAGGGGACATTCTTGCCTGGAGAACTGTTTCTTCACATGGTTTTTCATTACTTCAGATGTTTATTGTTATTTCGTTTATCTTGTTTTAAGATAGTCGTAAACAAAGGAATAAAACTAGGTTAGATAAGGATTTACAGCTCGATTTACACATGTGAAACGATAGATAACTTTCTGAAAATTGATAGATTCAATTAGTTCAAACAAGGGAAAGTCTTTAGAGGGTCTTTTGAGAATTAGCTATGAAATTGTCAAAAGGTTCTTTTGAGGGCGCTGAAAACGGTTTCAGCAATGCCTAATTTCGTCTCCTGCAAAAACTTACAATTTGAAAACCTATTGAAAAAAATGTTATTCAGTTTTCCAGCTCAATTATCTCAATTCCTGTGACAGATATCAATAACTTGTTAACTGATAAAATATTGTTGATATTATGATAAAAAATGTATTAGTTGACGAGTTTTTTAAATTTTTCACTGGAATCGAGATAATTGAGCTCAAAGTTGACGGTTTGGGTTGCACTCGATCAGAGAAAATACGGTAGGGGAGAGTACGTACCCAAACCAATCAACAATTTTCATACGACAATTTAATCCAGTTTTCAGATAATTTTCGAAAACTCTTCGAAAATATTCTATTTGAAAATCCCAAAACATGTCTGGAACAAAAATTTTCGACCAGGTAGATCAAATAAAATCAATCATTCAAACCGGTACAAATCGTCACTTTTTTAGAGTAGGTCAAACATCTTCCCATTCTGTACTTTTTCAATTTGTGATTTTTATTTGCGATTCGATTTTCTTATTTTCATGTGTATCCTTTGCTATTTCATTCTAATGTCGAGTCCATAAAACGATGTTTATGATTTTCTGACGACGGGCAAATTGTCTTCTTCTCCTTGATTCACTGATTATTAATCAATTTCCCAGAATTCTAGAAAATCAAAACGAAAATAATGTTTCCGGCTGATTTTCCAATAACATTCTTTCGAAAAAGGCGGCAATCCTAGAAGTACCGTATTTCCTCTAATAGGATCTCATCCAAACCGACAACTTTGAGCTCAATTATCTCGCTCTCCTGCAAAGATATAAACACCATTTGAACTAGTAAATTTTTCCGCTTAATATCAAACATTTTTATTTTGACAGACTTTTGATCTCTTTCCTAGAAACCAAGATAATTGAGATTCAAATTGACGGGATCGGTGCGCTTCTAGTAATCGGGATACGGTATACTACTTCCAAAACATCCTCTATCCTCTTTTGACGATCCAGGTCCCGCTGCTAGCTAGGTATACAGTAGGATTACGGTAGATTTTACCGCCTTTGATCTACCCATTTCTTCAGTATCTTGCTAGACCACACCCCTATTGACCACCGAGACGCTGGTTCACCACCCAGACGTTGGACCACCAAGAGGCGGAGGCGGGGCTTGGAGGATGGGTGTCGACCGATTCGCACTTTAATGCCTTCCATAGAATTTATTCATACATTCATTATGACTCGTTCGTTTTTACCATTCTCCTTTTTCATTCTCTTCTTCTAATCAATTTCTCCAAGAGCAATCTTCATTGACTTACCGTAGAAGCTTTAATAGAAGGGCCCCTCAATTTTGAGCCAACTTTCCTCAGTACCTGTGGAAGATATTAAAAATATGTCAACTGATAAAATGTTTATCATAATATCGGTAATATTTTATTAGTCGATAAGTTTTTGATATCACTTATAGTAACCGAGGTAACTGAGCTCAAACTTGAGAGTGTGTGAGCTCTTCTATTAAAGGTTTTACGGTAGTTTCCTTTTCTGCTTCTGATTTCTTTTTCAGTCTCTACCTCAACCTCTATATCTTTTTATATCTTTTTCATTCCAGAGAAATACAACAATGTCGTGTCCAGTTACCGTAACCCTCTCCCCGACCCAAGACGCTCTATGGAAGCTCTTCCACACAGAAGTCAACGAGATGATTGTGACGAGAGCAGGAAGGAACTTTTTCCCAAAAATGGAGTACACCGTCAGCGGATTGAATCCCATTAAGATGTATGCCATCATGGTTCAAATGGAACTTGTCGGTGATAATCGTTATAAATATTCGAATGGGCAATGGGCAGTGTCTGGAAAAGCAGACTATCAGCATGAAGTGTCCAAGAAGACGTGGCACGCAGATGGCGTTCGAACTGGAAAGTAAGTTTTGATGGATACTGTGTTCCAGACTAATCAGCGGGCTTTTTCAGAGAATGGATGGAGTCTATGATCAGCTTCGATCGCCTCAAGATTACCAATAATTTGAAAGCAACTGGCGCTGCAATGGTCCGTTTTCAGATTTTTGAGTTTTTCAATTCAAAATTATTTTCAGATTCCACTTCATTCCATGCACAAGTACGTTCCAGTGCTCACCATCTATGAGGCTCCATCGCAAAGCCCATTCTGTCCAAGCACCTCCAGCCAACCATTGGTGACTGTCAAGATTCCATATACTGAGTTCATCGCTGTCACTGCTTATCAGGTAAGAAACATGTTACAGTAAAACCTGTAATAGAAGGGCCCCACAAGTTGGAGCTTCGTTATCTCGATTCCTATGCTAGACATCAAAAGTTGTCAACTATGAAAATATTTCTGATATTATGATAAGAAATTATTTGTTGGAAACTTTCATACATCTTTGATAGCAATCCAGAAAATTCGCCTCAAAGTTATGGGGCCCTTCTATTGCAGGTTTCACGGTACCTATGCTAAAGTGATCCCAGACCCTATTTCTTCTGTTTTCAGAACCAAAAGATCGTCACCATGAAAATTGAGCACAACTCCTACGCGAAAGGATTCCGGAAGGACAACAAGGAGAATAGAAAGAGAAGATCCTCCTCAATTTTGGATTACTCAACCGACGAGAGCACATCCAAGTCTTCATCCCCAAAGTTCCCAAGAATCACTCCATCACCACCAGAAATTCAAACAGTGAACTTCCAACCGACTCCAGCTACTCAACTGCCATTCAATCCTTTCCTCTTCCCATTCAACAACTTGTTGGCTTCTGGAGCTTTGCCATTCCCAATGTTCTCATTTGGATTCCCTCAAATTAATCAATTCACCACCGTTCCACTTCCAAATGATTCTGATGAGGAAGCGTCGGTGATGAAAATCAAGCTGCCAGAGATTAAAGAAGAGACCACGGAAACGAACATTGATATTGTCAACTGAGCATATTTTATATATTTTTATTGCCACTGAGATCGTTTTGAAAAACGGGATACACATTGTATTACACAACCCCATGTCAAATTTTTTTTCTACTCCAAAAAAGCTAATAATAATTGTACACTAGAAAATGATGAAATTTTTGAATATTAATAAAGCATTTGTTTTTAATCCATTTTCTTTTTGAAGACGTTCATCAGGATACAGAAAACAAGAGAAAGTGGAAGAGAGCATCCGAGAAGGAGAAGTGTGAACAGGTTACTGTAGGATAGAATCGTCTGAAAACTTTAAGATTTTAAGATAAGGAAAAATGTTTAGTTACCGTAGGATTAGGAATGCAGATTCCGGATTTTGAATTGTTGGGTCCCCACATACAAACAGAGTGTCTCCCTTGCTTTACGCATTCACTGAAATTTTTTGAAAAATAGACTGAAAGAGATGAGAGCAAAAAAGTTACGGTATTTCCTCTAATAGAAGCCTACCCAAACCGTCAACTTTGAGATCATGTATCTCGATTTCTGTGAGAGACATCAAAAAGTTATTAAAGGTGGGGGGACAGGAGATTTTTCGTAGTTTTTTTGTAGCTAGAGTATGCATTCTACCGTCACGGTGTACAACGCTTAATGTCACTCTGCGTACAGCTGTCGTCCTCGCCTTTATGTATGCAATCGGGCGTGCGCTTTCTCTTTGCCCGCGTGGCTCAGTCGGTAGCGGCGCCGCACCCTCAATCATCGCCCTCACAAGTTCAACTCCTCGAGAGGCATCTTTGAACGGAATTTCGAGAACATTATTTTTTCATGTCCCCCCACCTTTAACTGATAAACTGTTTATCTTAATATGATAAACATTTTATCAGTTGTCAAATTTTTGAGATCTTTGGGAATACGGTAGATAGGAATCTCAGAGGGAATACGGTAGATGGGAATCTTGAAAAATCCTATCAAATTCTATTTTACCCACTAATTATTAAGACAAGTCGTTTTATTTTCTCCATTAGAAAGTTGTTCATAATCGGTCTCCCCTAAAATTACCACAATCTGAGCCAAAGTGTCACAAAATGAGTATGGAATCCGTCGAAGTGGCTGACTTGGATCACATGGAATACCAGTTTCGTATGTAGTCTGGTATCGTATACAATCCCCTTTTTTCTCGGGCAACAAAACTTCAAAGAAAACAAATTTTAAGCCAAATTTTAAAGAGATCTTCCTAACCAGCTGGACAGCAATGTCCATAAAGACACGTGGCATTCACTCCTTTCTTCGGGCAAATTCCAGATGATGGGATGTTTTCGTTGTAGGAAATACATTTTTCTTCCATAAAAGGATATGTTATGCCATCTGGGCATCGGATGCTTTTGTCGTTGTATTGATCTGAAATTCTCATGTAGCTTTATGCAGCTGTTTTTTTCTATCGAGATAAAAAAAGAGCTTCTAAATTTTATGAATGTTCTCCTTCATCCAAAAACTGAAATTATTCAGAGTGAACGAACGGTCCGTCGACGAGCCGCCAACGGCCCGTCCGCATCGACAAGGCGACGAATAGACGGTGTTCACCCGTCGCATCTTCAGCCGGCACCTAGCAGTTATCAGCCAGTTCCGCTAAACTTCAAAACCCCATTGAAAAATTTGAGCTCTTACCGGAACAACAAAGTTTTGTAGTATCATCACACCATTCCTTCAATTCATGGAAATCAGTGAAACAGTCCGAATTTTGAAAACAACGCTTCAGTGGATCAATTACTTCTCTATGTAGGCATCTTCCTCCAATTGGCTCTGAAATTAATTTGACACTGATCCGCCAAAATGTATAGTTACAAAAACACTCTAATATAAGGTCCCCCTTTGAGCCGATATATCTGGGTTCCTGTGAAAGATACCCAAAAATTATCAACTGACAAAATGTTCTTGATACGATAATTAATATTTTGTCAGTTGACTACTTTTTTGTATCTTTCATAAGAACCGAGATATATGACCTTCTATTAGAGTGTTTACAGTAAATCTGATCTCACCTGAACAACAAGTTTCAATTCGTCGACTCTTCCGCTCTATTTCATTTTCATAGTAACTCGGCCCATACTCCGGGGGTACATCAAAAAGGGGTACATTGAGGGTACATCATTCTTATAGGGTACATTGACTCAGAGGGTACATTGACTGATAGGGTACATCTGTGGAGGAGTCTGATAGGGTACATTTAAGCAACTCTCATAGGGTACATCGACGAAATACTCAAAGGGTACATCGAAAAAATCTGAAAGGGTACATTGGTCTGATTTCGCACAGTTTTCGAATATTCGTAACTTAATGAGACGGACAAGTTTTATAACGAAGTTTCGGTCATTCATCGGATTATAAGCAACTTACTGATGCTCGGCGAGGTTTTGCAACGTGCTCCTCCTCAATCTTGAATAGTAAGCGCT